GGGGGGGGGGGGGATTTGCCAGTCATCATGGTGGCCATTTAGAGAATGTAAACTCGTAGGGCCAGTGTGTGGGCTCTCTTGCTTTGTATGTGTCATAGATGGGAGGATGTGAACAAGGAAACAAATATCTGCTACCATGATGAAGTGTGAGTTCCCCCATCTCAGTCGTGTTTCCTTTTGTCTTTTATAGAAATGGCTCCAAGCAACCGATCTGCCCAAAGAAGTCTATCAACACCTTGCCTACTATGTCCCTCGAATATACTGCCGGCAGGCAGACCCAGTTACAGACCACGAAGAAATGCTAGCACAGCATGTCCTCCTGGGGCCATTGGAGTGGTACGTGTGTGGAGAAGACCCCACCATCGGATTTCAGAAGTTGGAACAAGCCAATAAACCCTCCCAGCTATGTGGCCGTGTTTTTAAAGTGGGTGAACCAACTTACTCCTGCAGGTGGGTTCTGTTCTCCAGTGTACTTTCAGGTTGTCCATAAAGCCGTATACTTTTGTTGAGCAGAATATGTCTTGGAAGAACAGTTTACCTTCACATAGCTGACAGAATTGCCTGTTGCTGCTTACTTTATATATTCATTAGAAGTACTGGTCACACTGAAATATTTTAAAGAATCTCCGGGAAAACATTTTTTAAATTAATCCTTGCAGTGGGGCTACCCCGCATTGCAAGGGTTAACTGTTCATTTTGGTCTAGGGAGGAAAACAAAAAAATGTATGCTCCCCTCATCCTTGGAGCTGGCTTGTTCTTAGACCGGTCCTTCCAACCTCGCTTCTTCCCTGCTACAGCCATCTAAGTATCCTTGAGTCATCATGTTCTGTACAGAGTATATAGGATGTGAGGAAGATGAGGAACATACCATCACTGCAGTGGAGGGAGCACTGTCACTGCTGACTGGCTCAGATTGGGTGATTATAACGTTATTTTCGTCCCTAGACCAAAACCAGTGGTTAACCCTTGCAGTGCAGGGGTAGACACACTGCAGGGTTTAATACAAATTTTGCCCAGAGTTGTTTTTTAACCAGTATGCTTCCCAGGACTGGTACTGTACATCCTGGCTTTAAAAGGGTTAAAAAAAAAAGCTTGCGATTACAGCGGCGCACGCTTACATGGGATATATTAAAGTGTCCATAGAGCGGCCCAGTCATTTTTATGGGTCTTGGCAGGTGCAGGGTGATGCGTGTCCAACCCAATCTCAACCCCCCTCTTGCCAACATTAGAGGTTCTGTTACCTGCCCAATGCTATCACAGAGCCCACCGTGTTATAGTAGTGAAGTGAAACAAAATAGGAAAATAATAAAATAAAAACAAAAAAAGTTTCAAAGCACCCCTTCTAGTTGTGCGCATACTTAACGCAAACGTTTATAGGGTGCACATGTGTATGCAAACAACCATTGTGCAATACATGTTTGGTATTGGCACGCATTGTGGATGAAGGAATCTCACACTGGGCCAAGCTTCAGTATCTTGCTAGTCGGCCCCACTTGCTCCCAAAATACCTGAGCAATCTGATTGGATGCAGGCATTGTTAAGTTATTTTGAGAGCCAGCGGGGCAGACTAGCAAGATACTGAAGCTTCACCCAGTGGGAGATTACTCCATCCACACAGTTTAGCGTAGATGGAGGAATCTGTTGCACTTTTTCCATCTGACCACAGAAAGTCTGCAGATAATCTCTAGGTGTATGGCCGGCTTTAGTCCATCAGTTATAACTCTAAACTGATGGGCTGTAAAAGGAATTCAGAGTGGCGCTTACTGAGAAGCTTGGCTACCGTAATTTTTTGCTGTGTCAAGTTATCAACTCACAAGATTTCTCCAAATCGACAGGTAACTTATCAAACTTTGCACTTATCAAACACATATAACAAAACACTTTTAATAGTATATTTTGAAGACCAAAAATGAGAAGATCGGTAATGGGGTTTACATCCACTTTTACTACTCCCCTAAATATCTTGCTGTGATCATAGTATCCGATGTGTCTGGGATGGGAGGGTTCCTCTTATATGCAGTCACGGGTGACACTCGGGTTATATACTAGTCTTTGTACTGTTGATTTCCGGGAGATAAACCAGGACTGAGGTCTGCGTGTGTCTTCACAGCATAAACACCTTCTAAATAATTGCTGAGACAACCTGAGTGCATTGTTATTCCTAAAGCTGAACCTATTGGCATTTTCAGATGGTCACATCATACTTGCATGTCTGACCAGCCCCCAAATCTCTGTGGTCAGCTTTACACCTCATTCATACAACGTGTACCTGAAATACGTGTAATGTTAAAAGTGCTTGTAAGTCAAAATTGAAAATGGAACTGAGATATTCAGCCTTCCTGCTCTGTCTTTAAGGGCCTGTTCACACGACGTCCGTTTTCTGTGCTGACCTGATCCGTACGCTCCTGCACTAAAAATGTATCCCAATGTATCCCTATGTGTTTTATGGGCTACAGTTCTCACGTGCGCAGTCCGTTCAGTTTACGACAGAAAAATACTGCATGTCACATTTTGTACGGTCAGGAAACGCAAAACGCGTCAAAAATACACTGCAGCTAACATACTGATAGCCCCACTCCAGCAAAAATAAAAATAAAAATATTTTTTTATAACTGGAACGCATCAAAAACGCGGCCAAAACGCACTGCATCAGTAGCACCGCGTCTGCAGAGCCGCACCTGATCAGGACCTGATATCATGTGAACAGGCCCTAAAGCAGATCTTGCACTACAGTGAAAAGTCCACATATAGCCTCCGGCCCCCTCCCAGTCCTTTCAAGGAGCAGCATCCATTGTAAGTGATTTAATTAGAATTTAAAATGACTTCAAAACCTTTGCACTTTAATATCACTTCAATATTTAGCGATCTTTTATTTCACCATGGTTGCAGAGTTTCCTGATATTGATCTGTTTCCTGACCTTTTAATAAACGCTACAGTTTACATGGTTAAAAACGTCATCCTTCTGCAAGAAACCATTTACCTGCTTTATTTGTTGTAGCGAGTATATATGTAATTGGTCCGACTGTTTTGTCGGAAACGCATGTTAATTAACATAAATGCATTTAAAGGAGAACTATGAGGTGAGTGATTTCCCACTCATCCTCACAGTTAGAGCCCACCTGTGACAATTAAACTGTCACACGTCGGCTCAATAGATCGGGAAGTGAGCGAACACCTACTGTCGCTCGCTCACTTCTCGATCATCTCCCTGCAGAGAGCCGTGGCTGTCACTCACAGCTCCCCGCAGGATTCCCCCCATCTCCAATACAGCAGCGTTGAGTGGAGGAACGGACGGGGGAGGGGGAATTTTCTGATTACTGACACTTGCATGCAGGAAGAAAGATGTATAAGATGTATAAGAGATAAGCGAAAACCTGGAGTGGCTGTGTGTGAAAACACCTCTCCTGCATTACAATTGGATGAGCAGAAAATGATTGCAGTTCAGCAGACGGAAAATAAAGCGGCTAGGCTGTGTCCCGGTGTGATTTTTCAAGTACTACATGTACTGTTTTTTTTTTTTCTGTGGCTGCCGTGAGCTGCGTTTTGCATGCACATGCAGGCAGGTTAGAGTGACATCCAGACTCCTGCGACTGCAGTATTGGGTGCCAAATAAGTAAGGTACGAAGATGTGGCCAGTACAAAGTGAAGAAATACGAGAAGAGGGAAATAAGAAAATGAAGAATAATGTCAGATCTGTGAAAAGGCTGCACTTGGGCTGCCTTGTCTGCAAACAGGAAACAGACAATACGCAACACTAAACCTGACCTCATTTACAGGTTTGCTGTTATGCCCCCCCCAAAATAGCTTCTCTAGAGATCCGGTTACCTTCTATGCGGCTGTGTGCCCTCGCCTTACACCCTGCCTTTGTCAGCCACTTCACCACACTGGACTTTCCAGCTCAGCTGCCCAGCTCTGTTGTGGCAGTCAGTTAAAGCAGAACTCCACTCCGGCAGAGGGACTTTTTTAAACTCTGCTGAACGTTACCTTTATACTAGTGACTCGAATGCTTGTCTGTTCTTCAGAATATATACTTTTATCTGTCAGATATTACAGCTCTCGCTGTACATCCAGTCTGCTGTGGCTCTCATACATGGAAGTCCTAGTGTCATTTATCTGGCCCCTTCCTCCCCTTTGGCCATTCCCAGAAGGCTGTGTATTCTGTGAATGATTCACATACTGCACAGTGTTCTGTGACTAACCAAAGGGGGTTAATAAATGACACTGACATTTCAGTGTATGAGAACTGCAGCACTCTTATCTGTATCGGGCCTAAGGGGAGAGGGGGGGGAGGCAGAAAAATCACACTATTCCATGTATAAGAACTGCAGCTCTCCTCTGTATCGGTCCTTAAGGGGAGATTGGGGTGGCAGATAAATGACACTATTCCATGTATGAGAACTGCAGCTCTCTTATCTGTATCGGGCCTAAGGGGAGAGGGGGGGAGGCAGATAAATTACACTAGCAGAATTATAGCGAGAGCTGTAATATCCGGCAAAGACAAAGGTGTAGAATTTGAAGAACAAGCAAGTAGGGATGCGCCGATACCGTTTTTTCGGTATCGTGTACATGTACTGATATTTTGCTTTCGGTACTCGATGATACCTGTGCTTCCGCTGACATGGAGCCGGCTTCCCGGGCAATTAGAAAGCCAAACGGCAGGTAATTACATGCCGTCCGGCTTCCTGAAAGCCAGCTCCATGTTATTTGGCTGGCTTGATTGACTGTGATTTGGCTGGGAAGTCGGTTTCCTGTCCAATCAGCATTGAGCTGGCTTCCCAGCCAATCAGGAAGCCAGGCAGTGTGTAATGTCCTGGCTTCCTGATTGCACGGGAAGCTGACTCCATGTTCCCCTACCGCACTCCCAGTCAGAGGAAATCTTCCTCTGACCGGACGTTCAGGTATTTGGGCGAGTAAGAGTACGCCCCCAAATACTAGGTATTGGCACTGATACTGATTTTAGTATCGGTGCATCCCTACAAACAAGCATTGCAGCCATGCCATATACACCAGTAGAGGTAACATTTATTTACAATCCAGGAGTTTGAAGAGGAACTTTATCCACCAATTTAATGGTCTCCCAAAACGGTTCCTTTTAAGGCAAGACAATGGTCAAGGTTGCCAGTGAGCTCGATGCTGAAATGTGACAAATACCCAGTCAGAGGTTACCTGGAGTATTCCAGTGCAGTCAGTCAGTAGCTCCGTACGTACAGGCTGTGAAGTTAATATGCAGATCTTGACTTTTCCTGTGGAACTTCCATTGTTTTGTCTTCTGCCACCTCCAGTCCTTCACTGGGGGACAACACTGGAGAATGGTGTGTTGTAGCGTTGTCATTGTGTGGTGTTCTCGGTCTCGCCACGTCGGTACAGGGAGAACGCTTTGTACAATATAATCTGTTCATGTTTTCCTTTGTTTTTCAGAGACTGCGCAGTTGACCCAACGTGCGTTCTGTGCATGGAGTGTTTTCTGGGAAGCATTCACAAGGAACATCGCTATAGGGTAAGTCGGGACGTTTTTGTTTCTTTGCAGAGAGTTAAAGCTGAATTGCGACCTTGCCTTCAGTTGTACAGACTACTCTCTTGTAATGGCATTGCTTGCAGAGATTTCACAGTGGGAGCTTCTCATTAGAAGATACAGCCCAACTCATGTTATGACTGGAGGACATTCAGCATCCTCTAGACCTTTCCTCCCCAGCCTGATTGTCCCTGGCTCGCCCCTTTTCATTCATTGGGTTTGAGTTCTTTGTCATGGATGGTCAACATCACTTGTGGGCGTTACCTAAGGCAGTCTGCATGCAAATCCATATCTCCAAACTGACATCTTCCCATCAAGACATTTTGATATTTGTATAACACCTCCCAAGAGCCAACCCACTGCTTGCATTACAGCTGAGGGCTCTTGAGAGAAATTATTTATTTTCCAAAAATGAGTTGGCATGAATTAGCACATCGGAAATAGGGAAGATTTTGTTTAAAAATGTAATTAGCATGTTGAGGGAGCAAAGCAGGTACCAGTAGGGCTGCAACTAATGATTGTTTAAATAAACATTTAGTTGGATTATTTTTCCAAATAATCGGATACAAAAAGGGAAATAAATACCATCTTTAACTTAAAGTAAAATACACACATGCAGTGTTACAAACATAAAGTTTCAGAATAAAACTGCATGCACAATTTTTTGCAATCGACTGCGCTGGAACGCTCAGCATTGCGGTACCATGAGTTCCAGTGCGGGCGATAACACCGTGGGTCAGAGTTGCGCTTGGGGTGCCATTGAAATCAAAGGCACTGCAACGCACCTCCAGCAGCAGAATTTCAGGCCGAAACCAAAAATGACTTCCCACCTTTTTTTACAATTTTTTTTTTTTTATAATTGTATTGCAAGCACATGGCGCTTGAATAGCTTCAGCCCGGGAATGACGTCTGCCAGTGGCCAGATTCCGCAGATGGCAGCTGAATGTAAATACAGCAGGTAGTGGGCGGGTGCGATAGCCATTCAATTTGCAATAGCCAATAGCAGGCTGGCTATTGCACCCGCCCACTGCTTGCTTTGCCCCCCTCCCAGCGTGGAGGAGAGAGCTAGGGGATCCAACCAACTAATCGATAATGAGAATAGTTGACAACTATTTTCATTATTATTATCGATTAGTTGGTTGCAGCCCTCGGAACCAGAGAAGGAAAAATATAAGCAGATTAAACGTCAAATATAGAGTGTATGTAAACCATAACAATGAAGCTTGACCCTTCAGTTATTTGAATATTCAGAGGAAAACATTTTGCTATATTTGTTTGATTAATGCAAAAAAAACAACCTATTGGTCCTGCCAGAAATTCAGCGTTGTCCTGTGCACTCGGCAGGGTTGTCTTAAACAATGTTATCAGGAACTCCCCTGAAGTTATGGAGATGGGGAGGTGTTCTGTGTCCCCAACACACTTCCTGTCCTAAGGTGACAGCGCTATTCCTTTATACTCAACAGCAAGTCCACGCTGTCGCCTTAGGACACGAAGTTTGTTACAGGCAGAATCTTCTGGTGAAAATGAAGCCTAATAAAAGGAAACGAATGAAAGCATCTTCTGATATACACTGTAAAATTATTAGGAGTCAGGGAAGTACTGAAAGAATTTGGATGGAATTGGTCTCACCAGGTTTGAGCATGTTGAGAGAATCCTGGGATTATAGTTGCTCCTTGAATTAGGATAAATGCACACAGGCTTTTATGAGCGTCTGGGGATTTATGTGGCAGGAATCCCAGGTGGGTCTGTACAGATGTGGCCGCTGTCCCCATTCAACTGAATGACAGGCTGACGGTGATTGCATCTGTCTGTGGCTGTCTGCATGTGATCTTACATGGAACGATAACCTGCGGATTGGGATAGAGGCTTGTCCCTGCATGCAGAGAGATACTGAGGAAATATACAAAGGGGTCCATCAAAAAGTGATGTCTCCATGTCTGTAATTTGAGATCCATTAGAGTGACTGTGAATGTTCATGTCCCATCTTTTAAGGGGCCCGTACCCCACTAATGTATACTTTTCTTTTTCAGATTGAGTGATTACAACCATGGATCTTCAGCTAAAACAATGAGCTCAGCTGCAATTGAATCTTTGGCAAAAGAGGGTCGCTCATCTAAGGAAATCCATTTTCGGGTAAAGAATGTTTATGGGAACGCTATAGTGGACATTAGCAATGCGTGGCGTTGGGTAAAAGTTCCAAGATGGAGAAACCGGAATTCCATTGCAGCGTCTCCATAAACATTCTTTAGCCTATTATGGATTTCCTTAGGTATGCAACGCTCTTTCCCCAGAAATTCAATTACAGCTGCAGATTCATGGTTCTAATCACTCAATCTGAAATAGAGAAGCATATAATAGTGGGGTGTGGAGACCTCTATAATGTGGTACATGAACATTCATAGTCACTCTAATAGATCTCAATTTACAGACATTGGAGGCATTACCTTTTGATTGACCCTCGTATAATTTGGTGTTGGCTTTAATCAGTTTTCTGACCTAAAATGTGCATTTTAACACACGTGCACAAATGGCTCTGGCAGCAAAAGGGTTAAAAGCTGTTTTGCCGATCTGTTAGTGTATTGTAAATTGTCTTGAATTGTCTGTGAGGTGGAGAAAATGAAGTGTTTTATGCAATTAGATAAAAACTCCTGATGTCCCCCTTAGGGAGAGCCCAACATTGATTAGAATAATATAGGAAACATGTCAAAAATCATATACACAAAATTTTAATCCACAATAAAATCATATAACTACACATTTGACAAACATCTAATATCTTGAAAAACCTGCTAATGTATTCTTTGCTAAAGATGAAATACAATAATAGTAATAAATACTAGATAATAAAGACCCCAAAAATGAAAGATGATGCCCTGTTTCCCCTAAAATAAGACCTACCCCGAAAATAAGACCTAGTTGTGACCATTCCCAGGGCCGGTGGTTGCATAAGGGGGAACTTGAGGAGCCGCGGGAGAGAATCAGCGGTGCCAATGAAGCCAGCGCTAGAGGAAGTGAGGCGGCAGCGGAAGGAGTAGAGCCGCATAAGGCGGTGCTTCTTCTATAGCGCCGGCTCCTGTCACAGGCGGAGTGATACCAAATGCACTCCGCCTGTGAGGAATCGATAGTGAACGCTTCTCTCATTCTGGCCAGCGATTGGTTACCAAATTGCTCTTGGAAAGGTACGGCACCCCTGATTGCCCTGATCACCCTATTCTTAACTTTGCCATTTTTAATTATTTAATTTGGATTTGCGTTAACTTTGGATTGTTGTACAATAAAAAAAAAAAATAAGACCTACCCTGAAAATAAGACCTAGTGTGTTTTTCCCCAGTCATCGTCCAGGGCAGCCTCTGAGATGGGATCCTCCCACCTGAAACAGGAAACACATCATCCACAATTAGAATAAAAAGGGCGGTCCCTCCTAACCACCTCAGTATTTTGTGTTTCCTCCGGCCGAACAGGAGCATCGCAACGTTTGTTATTTTACTCCAGGCCTATCATGCTAGATAGCAGGGGCCTCCTGAGGCATGCTGCGGACCTGGGGCCTCCTGAGGCATGCTGTCCTCCTGAGGACAGTGGACCTGTAGGGTCTCATGCACAGGACTTTTCCCAGGACTGATTCCCCCAGAGTCCTTACAAAAAATGTTTGCCCAGAGGTTCCCCTCGATAATGGAAGGAGATGGCAACCATCCTCGCTGGCGTAGTGTCTCCAGATGGAGTCCCCCGGAGTGTCCTGCTACATGAATTGACGGATGACCTGATGGGCTCTCTGGCGGCAGTAGAGCTGGATCACAGCAGGACACGAATAATGTGCTTTGTCGACAATCCACATCGGCAAGCAGGGGCGCCAGGAGTGGGGCAGGAGCGAGAGTCCAAACGGGAAGGGTGATGCACACCGTTGGACTCTTTATCACAGGCTTCTTCTCCCATTCTGGGGGTTCAAAGCGCTAGCTCCAAGGTAGGCGGGTCTACAATTGACAAGTCCCCCCTACCTGTACCCTTCTTGCTCTGGGGGCCTACTTCGGTGGGGCAAGGGGTAGTTGGCTTACTTGATGCACCTCCCATTGGGTCTTTCCCCAGGGGGGTGCAGCTTGGTCTCGGGTGGCAGGCTCTGAGCCCTTCCCTTTTTTGGCATAAGTATAGGCCTCAGAGGATAAGCCCCTGCCAGCAGAAGCCAAAACACCCTAAGAGTGCTTCCTGCATTGACAAATTGTTTTTCTTTCCGGGCCAAGCTTTTCTGCCAGATCTGTGTATCGCCAAAGAGGGGCATGCATGGGAGGCAGTGTTTATGGTCATATCTCCCTCACACAGACAGGATCTCGCTCCCCAGTTACTGGGGATGGATCCAGG